AAAAAAAAAAAAGAAACAAAACCAAAACTCAATTGTAGGCTGGGGGCGGTGGCTCAGGCCTGTAATCCCAGCAGGTTGGGAGGCTGAGGTGGGCGGATCACCTGAGGTCAGGAGTTCAAGACCAGCCTGATCAACACGGTAAAAGCCCATCTCTGTTACCTAGGCTAGACTGCATTGGCAGGATCTTGGTTCATTGTAGCCTCAACCTCCCAGGCTCAAGCCATCCTCCCACCTCAGCCTCAGCCTCCCCAGTAGCTGGGACTACAGGCACTTGCCACCACGCCCAGCTGATGTTTTTGCATTTTTTGCAGAGGCAAGGTTTTGTCCTGTTGCCCCGGTTAGTCTTAAACTCCTGGACTCTATCGATCCATCCACCTTGGCCTTCCAAAATGCTGGGATTACAGGTGTGAGTCACTGTGCCCAACCAATTATTTTTTGTTTGTTTGTTTTGAGACAGGGTCTCACCCTGTCACCCAGGCTGGAGTGCAGTGGCGCAAACATGGCTCACTTCAGCCTTGACATCTAAGGCTCAGGTACTGAGCCCTCAGCCTCCTCAGTACTTGGGACTACAGGCATTTGCCACCAAGCTGAGCTAATTTTATTTACTTAGTTTTTATTTTCTTTCTTTCTTTTTTTTTTTTTTGAAACGGAGTCTTGCTCTGTTGCCCAGGCTGTAGTGCAGTGGCTGGATCTCGGCTCACTGGAATCTCCACCTCCTGAATTCAAGCAATTTTCCTGCCTCAGCCTCCCAAGTAGCTGGGATTGCAGGCGCCTGCCACCATGCCCAGCTAATTTTTGTATTTTTAGTAGAGGTGGGGTTTTGCCATGTTGGCCAGGCTGGTCTCGAACTCCTGACCTCATGATCTGCCTGCCTTGGCCTCCTAAAGTGCTGGGATGGGATTACAAGCATGAGCTACTACGCCTGGTCAGGCATGAGCTTTTGTAGAGCACACCAGACTGAAAATAAAGACTGTGGAGCTTTTTTTTTTTTGGGACAGAGTCTCGCTCTATCACCCAGGCTGGAGTGCAGTAGTGTGATCTAGGCTCACTGCAACCTCCGTCTCCCAGGTTCAATTGATTCTCCTGCCTCAGCCTCCTGAGTAGCTGGGACTACAAGCACTTGCCACTGACCAGCTAATTTTTGTATTTTTAGTAGAGATGAGGTTTCACCATGTTGGCCAGGATGGTCTTGATTTCTTGACCTCGTGATCTGCCTGCCTTGACCTCCCAACGTGCTGTGATTATAGGCGTGAGCCACCATGCCCGGCCATTCCTTGCTCTTCTTTTCCCTGTATTCCACAGGGCAGAGCCACAACTCCAGCCCACTGAAGGCAAAGGTCACCCTGGGCCCACCCCCCCCACAAGGAGCAAATTCCACTGACCAGAACACTCAGGAAGGGTCTTAGAGTGGCTGAGGCTTATCACCTCATCGACAACACGACATCAGGACATGTAATTCTTATTTATTTTTCACCCTCAACAAGGAAGAAAGGTCTCTCCCTCAATTTTGCTATTCTACTACTTGAGGATAGGCACCCCTAACCCTCCTTCCTCCAGGGAGGCCTCAATGTCAGTGTCTGTGGAAATAGTCTCTGAAGAGTGCTTGAGCTGGTGGGGTGGGGAAGGAGAAACTCAAAAGAGACACCGGCTAGGGATGGCATCATTTTCCTGCCAACTTTCTCATTGCCTCTCCTTCAAAGCGGAAGGAGTGCCAGCCCTCAGCTTCCGTCAGATCTTGGGCTCCTAGGGCCTTGTACAAGTCTATGGCCTTCTGGTTCCAGTTCAGGACAGCCAGACGAAACTGGGAGCAGCCCTTATCCAGGGCCACCTGTGGGATCAGACATCACTGACTTTCCTGGGGTCAAAAAAGGAAAAGGCTTTCTCACGCCCTCATTCAACCCGGGCCCCCCGCCCCCATATACCCTTGCTTCTTTTTTTTTTTTTTTTTACCCTTGCTTCTTGAGCTCCTCGCTGATCACCCCATCCCTCTCCTCACCTCAGCCACCTTTTTGATTATTTTGGAACCAATCCCTTGACCTGTTGTGGAGAGAAAGAGGCAAAAAAGAGCTATTGTTTGAGCTGAAGGGGATCAGAAAAGGACATCCCCTGGGATGCGGGGACAGGGGATGATGGTGGGGTCTGTGGGGTCCTTTGTTCCCACCCCAACCTCAGCTTCTGCCCAGTACCCCGATATTCTGGCATCACGTAGACATCTTCCAGATAAATGTTGCGTCCCTTCCATGTGCTGTAGATGAAGTAGTATAGCCCATAGCCCACCACGCAGGGCCCTGAGAGAGAAAAAAGAGGAGTAAGGCCCCTGGGAGCCGGTGGGGAGAGAGAGAAAAGGCCTCTGATAGCCTGCGGGGAGACCTCTGAGGCCGACTGGAGAGGGGGACCTCTAAGGCCAGGTGCTCTTACCCAGTGGCTCCCCGGGCGCTGGAAGAATCTCTGCTACCAAACAGTGATAGAAAGGATTCTCTCCAAAGCCATCTGCTCTCAGGGCTGCCAAGATTGGAGTTATGA